TCAAACTCCGCCCACAGGAGGCGATGCGTGCGCAATAAAAATTTGGGCCGCAAATTCATAAATCCTGTTTACGTGGTCCTATTGCATTGAAATTTAGTAGGAGTACAGGAATCAGGATAGGAACACTGATGGGAGGTGATAAGCGGAGATAATAATTAAAAGGAATGAATAAAGAGGATTGAAAGGTGAGAGCCACAGGAACCGTTACTTACTTCTTGTTAACGGCAGAGTTTTGGCACTACGGAAGACTGATAGGAACTGTTAGGAGGCGAGAGGAGGCGAGAGCCAATAAGTCTACAACGTCTTTCATACTAACAACTGAGCATTCCGGTAGGTGGTGCAGAATGTAAAGGGGCCGAAGTTAATTAGTGATAAGGACAGATATAACAAGTGAGCAAGCGTTGAAATCCCCTTCGTGACAACAGTGGAACCCTTCCAAATACGGCAATCTAGGATGTGACGTGGTCGTAGGTACTCTGTGACAGGAACAGAAAACAACTAATAAGAACTGATAAGGGGCCTCAGAGTGCAAAAGGGTATTTATGACCAAACATTGGCTCTTCAAAATGTTTCATTCATTAGGACGGTTAAATGTAATAGCGACCGATCAGAGGCATTTCTCAATAACGAAATGAGAATATTGTTCATTTCTAGCTATTGAACTACGGCCGTTGCGCATTGAGGTTTGTGACACAATGAAGTACCACGATTCCTTTTTGTTTTGTGACATATCGTTTGTTACTAAACTCATCTGACCGCTAATGATTTGGATTCCCTGTTAATGAAAAATCCGTGGGGAAAATATCCATTGATAACGACATCTGTGGTAGGCGTTGTTATCCATTTCTGGGCACCATAGCCCGCCGGCCGGCCGGCCGGCCGGCGTGCCGGCGGAGGCAGTGCTAGGGGGGAGGAGGGAGGCAGANGCCCCTTCGAAGGTTGTTTGTTTTCACCCCCTCGAAGGGGCGTGGACTGTTTGCCTATCCGTCTGCCTCCCTCCTCCCCGCTAGCACTGCCTCCACGCCGGCGGACTATGAAAGCAGCCATTCAAGACATTGGTTGTCAATCACTTAAGCCATCAATGACTGGTACTATAATAACCGCATAGAAGGCTATTGAACGATAGAGCAACGAAAATTGAATCGGAGACAAACTAGGAAGAGTTAGAAAGGTCAATATTTTCAAGAGATAGGACTATTACAATGGCCCGTCTGCCAGTCGGTCGTGATCCTGGATGGCCCATCAAAAGGAAGTCAACGGGCACGGCTTATCGTAGTTATCGCGATGGAAAAATGTAATGCAGAAGCTTCATTGCCATTCCTATCATATGCAGTGATCCCACTTCATTTCCGGTCTCAACAGACAGTGTGGTTTGAAAAAATGCAGAAGGTTGTTGACTCGCTTGAGTTGAGACACGCTTCCCTGCATCGTTTTCTCTAGCTCAAATTTTTTTTGCGAAAAAACCATTTCTTAAAGAATAAAACGATCGTGTTTCGTATAGAATCATCGAACGTGCAATCTCTCGCAAAAAGCTACTACATATATGTAGGAACAGCAAAATGATGTTTTTCGAGGGAGTCACTAGCGAGTAAGACGCTCATCGTTTCGTCGGTGTTGGCGTGAAAATTGAGAAAGACCTATGCTCAAAGGGCATATCCGCTTCCTGAAATAGCTCGTAGTCCTCCCAGCAGGATGGTACTCCAGCCCACAGAGCGGAACTTGACCGAGTGTGGTGTCGATGTTAGCTGCCTGGCTTCATTAGCAAAGAGGGATAGCCGTTCTGCTACTCAGATTTTAAATCACTTGACTTCTCTTTATGGTTCCTGATTAGAAGAGTACCTGCCGAACTTGCACTCCCAGTTTGGAGTCCTAGAAAGTAAGATTGGAGAACGGCTGGGAAGAAATGGAGAAGGATACCTGCGTGCAATATCCCAGGTGTTCAAAAGCAAACTTTGGGTCTGCACCCACGCTCATGGCGGATATTTTGAAATGTGACTGTGGCATGTTGTAGCACATGATGTAAGCAGACGTGTATGTAGATTCCATCGTCATTTTCAGCTGAGAAGCTTTAAAAACATTGCCATGAATTGGCCCCAATAACTTTGGGACACCCTATACAATACGTCAGCCACGTTATTTCATTCATTGAAAGACC